CCACATTAAAAGGAATATGTGTTCTAAGTTTTAAATTGAATTGTCTATATTGACCATTGACAGACGGATCGACCGAAAAATACATAATGCCCATCTACTATCAGATCGGGCATAATAAAATTAAGATTTCATACTAGCTTACTAGATCCGTGGCTTGAGCACCAACTTTATTTAACAAGATTGCACACACTGAAATGTCTCGCCTGCTTTACTGACCAATGATTTTATGCTGATAGTCCTAAATAAAATTCTTTACTATAAGTATCACATAAACGTAACATGATTCAAGAAAATGAGGTCAAGGTCAGATAAACCAAACCGGAAATACATGTACACCTTACAATCAATCCATACACCAAATATAGTTGATCTATTGCTTATAATTAAAAACAAACTTAACCAGGAAAACGTAACATTGACCAATGAACCATAAAAATGCACGGTCAGATGAACCAAGCCAGACAGACATTGTACATCTTACAATCAATATACGCATCAAATGTAGTTGACATATTGCTGATAATATCTAAGAAACAAACTAAACCATGAAAACTTAACAATGAACCATGAAAATGAGGTCAAGGTCAGATGATACCTGCCAAATAGACATATACACCTTACAATCATTCCATACATCAAATATAGTTGACCTATTGCTTATAGTTTAAGAAAAACAGACCAAAACATAAAAACTTAACACTGAGCAATGAACCATGAAAATGAGGTCAAGGTCAAATAAAACCTACCAGACTGACATGTACATCGTAAAATATTTCCATACACCAAATATAGTTGACCTATTGCATAGTTTTAGAAAAAAAGACCAAAACACAAAAACTTAACTTTAACCACTGAACCATTAAAATGAGGTCAAGGTCAGATGAAATCTGACAGTTGGACATGTACACCTAACAATCATTCCATACACCAAATATAGTAGACCCATTGTGTATAGTATCTGTGATATGCACTTGACCACGAAAACTTAACCTTGTTCCCTGATCCATGAAATGGGGTCGAGGTCAGGTGAAAACTGTCTGGCCGGCACGAGGACCTTGCAAGGAACCCACATCATACATATAGTTATCGTTTTACTCATATTAAGAGAGAAATTAGCATTATACAAAAAATCTTCTTTTTTTCAAGAAGTCGCTGAACCATGAAAATGAGGTCAAGGACAATGGACATAATTATGACAGACGAAAACTTCATAACATAAGGCATCTATATACAATGTATGAAGCATCCAGGTCTTCCACCTTATAAAATATGAAGCTTTTAAGTAGTTAATTAACGCCACCGCCGACGCCGGATCAATATCACTAATATCGAGCTTTCTGCGACAGAAGTCGAAATCTCGACAAAAATGGGATCAAAACTTTAATCTACCGTATACATACATGTATGAAACCATAAGAAAACAGGCATGTGTACTAAGTTTCAAGTTGATATGAATACAACTTCACATCTAAAACTACACCAAAAGCGTTAACCCTGTAATGGACTGTTTTCATACAATCCTTTTTTTCTATTTTTAATGTACCATGAAGACTGGATCAAACCTTGATTTGGCATGCACATTAAAAAGACCACATTATAAGCTACATGTCCATGTATTAATATTTTAGCGGCGATCGATGTCTTTCAAAATAACTGCACTTTTCTTGTATACCTGGTGCTTTCGACTGGAGAACCGTCGTACACAAGCATCGCACAAGTTGGCACTTTGAGGCGGGTGGTGAGCAAGAAGGTGAACTGTGGTTTACTTTTATCAATAGTACCGTTAAGTCGACGCATGGGGCCGATTTGACCTTGTTGTGGGGTTTAATGATTCGTTCATTGTTGAAGACCCTACATCAACTGTCAAGATGAAGAACAGGAATAAAAGCCCTGTTCATTGATAATTTTCTATGTTTTCTATGTATTATGTGTGCGATTTTGTCCCATGTACATTTTCTCCATATTCTTTTCATTTTCTATTAAATTTCAATTTGATGTGACTTAAACTTTACCCTAAACTTCCTTCATCAAAAACTTTAACCTGATTCGGGACGGACGCACGGAAGTACTGACAAACGGACGAAGGGATGGACAAACGAACGGACTGATTATAAATTGTAGCTACATGCATAAGTTTCAAGTTGATGCGAGTAAAACTTCACCCTAAACTACCTTCATCAAAAAATCATTTAGCATCTGTTTTGTGCTAATGAACTGTTGACACAAACCGGCTTAATATATCAGAAATTAAGATATATATCTAGTCAGTCATATATACACATATATATGTCCCTGATCTAGTAAATAATTTTTTATGTTTATTGCAGAGAACGAAAACGATTTTTTTTCCTTTTTAGCACACCTGGCTCGAAGGGCCAAGTGAGCTTTTCTCATCACTTGGCGTCCGTCGTCCGTCGTCCGTCGTCGTCGTCGTTAGCTTTTTACAAAAATATTCTCCTCTGAAACCACTGGGCTAAATTTAACCAAACTTGGCCACAATCATCATTAGGGTATCTAGTTTAAAAATGTGTCCGATGACCCAGCCAACCAACCAAGATGCACGCCATGGCTAAAAATAGAACATAGGGGTAAAATGTAGATTTTGGCTTATACCTCTGAAACCAAAGCATTTAGAGTAAATCTGACAGAGGATAAAACTGATTATCAGGTCAAGATCTATCTGCCTTGAAATTTTCAGACAAATCTGACAACCTGTTGTTGGGTTGCTGCCCCTGAATTGGTAATATTTTAAGGAAATTTGGCAGTTTTTGGTTATTATCTTGAATATTATTATAGATAGAGATAAACTGTAAACAGCAATAATGTTCAGCAAAGTAAGATCTACAAATAAGTTGCCATGACCAAAATTGTCAGTCGACCCCTTTAGGAGTTATTGCCCTTAATAGTCAATTTTTGACAATTTTTCGTAAATTTTTGTAATCTTTTACAAAAATCTTCTTCTCTGAAACTACTGAGACAAATTTAACCATACTTGGCCATAATCATTATTAGGGTATCTAGTTTAAAAAATTTGTCCGATGACCCTCCCTTCCAACCATCATGGCCGACATGGTTAAAAATAAAACATAGGGGTAAAATGCAGTTTTTGGTTTCTATCTCTGAAACCAAAGCATTTAGAGTAAATCTGACATGGGGTAAAACTGATTATCAGGTCAAGATCTATCTGCCCTGAAATTTTCAGACAAATCTGACAACCTGTTGTTGGGTTGCTGCCACTGAATTGGTAATTTTAAGGAAATTTGGCAGTTTTTGGTTATTATCTTGAATATTATTATAGATAGAGATAAACTGTAAACAGCAATAATGTTCAGCAAAGTAAGATCTACAAATAAGTTGTCATGACCAAAATTGTCAGTCGACCCCTTTAGGAGTTATTGCCCCTAATAGTCAATTTTTAACAATTTTTCGTAAATTTTTGTAATCTTTTACAAAAATCTTCTTCTCTGAAACTACTGAGACAAATTTAACCATACTTGGCCATAATCATTATTAGGGTATCTAGTTAAAAAAAATTGTCCAATGACCCTGCCTTCCAACCATCATGGCCGACATGGTTAAAAATAGAACATAGGGGTAAAATGCAGTTTTTGGTTTATCTCTCTGAAACTAAAGCATTTAGAGCAAATCTGACAGGTGGCAAAAATGTTTATCAGATTTAGATTTATCTGCCCTGAAATTTTCAGACGAATCCGACAACCTGTTGTTGGGTTGCTGCCCCTGTGTTAGTAATTTTACAAAAATTTTGCGGTTTTTTGTTATTATCTTGGATATCATTATAATATCTAATATCTAATACTATTAATTATGATTTTTACCTTATTTTACAAGATTTCCAAAGCATCAGTAAATACAGGTGAGCGACACAGGCTCTTGAGAGCCTCTAGTTTAATTTTATTGACTGCTCGAATTAAACATTTGAATTTTATTTTCAACGAATTCTTACTTTTATGTTTTTCTCATTGTCATCGGATATTCAACTAGTCTCGGTGTATTAAACTCGCCATTACGGCTCTTTCTGTTTATCCATTCAAAATGACAACATATTCACACCTGTAAAAGCGTACGTTTGAGGCTTAATTGCCTTCATGTTAAATAAACGAATTGCTTTACAAAATGCTCATCTATTCGAGAAATAAACAATGCCTTTCAGAAATAACAGACATATTCTATTCGCACAGACTTTGCATTGAAATGAAACTGAGACTACTATAACAGGGTTATAGTAGTCTCAGAGTGAAATTATGAAGGTCAAGGATTTGTATACAAATCCTTGTGAAGGTAAATAAAAACGAAAAACATTTTCAGTTCAATAACAGTAAATGATTTGTGTTCAATAATTATTCCCCAAAAAAATCGCAACTATTAATAAAATTAAATCGAAAATATATACTTTAAGATTTTTTTATTTAATCAATGCAAAAAGTTACACGTGTGTTCATTTTCTTTCATTCTTCTTTTGTGGTTATAACGAGAAACGGTCATCTGCGCGCTTTTAATTACGGAAAAATTGATATGGAAAAATTTAACCCGAATAATTCAGTCCCTCCCCGTAATCGATCTCTCCTACTTGCGAGGAATTCCGCATTCAGGTGTTTATGGAGTAATCGTAGATCAGCGGAATATAACGACTGAATAATTCGGGTTAGGAAAAATTCGACTAGCCTGGCATCCCGACCCAATCTAATACTTCGTCGACAGGATCCCAGGCTAAAATTCGACAAGCGATTATTTTTTCCCATCATTCACTAAATCGGGTTAAAACGTCACAACCCGATGACGTATGTCAACCAAAAAAAGTTACAAATACTTGATTTTCTCCGTTATTAGAAGGAATATAAATTTAAAACTTTGAAAATGTGTTTTTTTTTATGTTATGATGAACATATTTAGATAAGTAAAAAATCCTGGATTTTCTCTTTACTCAGTTTTTCCTCATCTGGTTTATTAGTAATACTAATGCGCTCCATATAATACAATTTTGCAGGTTGAAACTACTTCCTGTTGACATGCAAAAGAACATACAACTAATTTGTACTTTGTCCAAGTCAAAATTCAAAAAGAAACATAGCAAAGTAATACAGTATGGAACTGCTGGATTTAGAACAAAGTAATTTTCTCCGTTGAAGTAACGTATTTAATAAAACCAAAATTAAAGCACCTACACCCTTTAGTATGGAGTGCCATGAAATCATAAATGTTTATCTGAGCTGAATTTAGGTGTCGTTAATCTTTTGATTACATTAAAAGAGCTAAACAATTGCAGTTTAATCAATTACTTTTTAAAGTAATCCCATTTCTGAATATTCAATAATAAAATAAGGCCACCCTTAAAAAATTATTATTTTGGAAATGCCAACACACAATCAGCATGTGGGTAGGTATATTGTAGGTAGGGATTTTTTTTTTTACATTTAAAAGCTTTATATATCGAAACCATGATGACTCTTAATCACCGTCCAAAGCATTGCAGCATGGTTGTGTGTACAAACTGATGGTTTCCTTGATAGGGGTTAATGTCATATTCTACACCAGACGGTCAGTTTAATTGGTGGAGTAAACCAAGGTGCCCAGCGGAAACCACCGACCTGTGGTAGGAAACTGACATTAACCATATAACATGTCCAACGTGAAAATTGAACCTAAATTGTGGGACTGTCCATATTTTGAACAGAGGCTTGGTGTCACATCTTGAAGTTGCGGTCACAGTTTGGTAAAATTACCATATTTTAAACGGCTCAACCACTTCCGCTCCTTGTACAGATAGACAATGATTTAAAGCTTTGCTTGTTTGATGGGATTTTAAAGTCACTTTCTACACCATATGGGTAAATTTATGACTGTCAGTTTTATTGGCGGAGGAAAACGGAGTACTCAGAGGAAACTGACAAACCTTATTACATATGGCATGAAAATCAAACCTTAATTTTGCGACTGCCCAACCAAGGCTCTAACCCATACTTAGAGGTGATAGGCTAGTATTCATACATGTAAGTTTTGACGAACTACATAACGATCACGGCCACCGCTGCCCCTAATAAGCTTTGAGGATAAAGAATCCATACCAAATTAGGATAGCAAAATACAAATGTATTACAAATTTGGAAGGTTGGCACAAATACAGACCTGAATGCTTGGCAGCTTGCTTATTCTAACAATCGCAGTGAATTTTTTAAAGGGCTTGGTTATGATAAATTCAAAATGGAAATAAGCCGCAGGACAAACAATTTTTACAGATAAATAAATTATGGGTTGTAATGATTGTTTAACAGGGTTTTGTACATGCATGACATAAATACAGATAAATTCACGAGCCCTTAAAACAATGGGGGTGGGAATTTATTCATCCCTGGTATACTAGATACATTTATAATTAATATGTTGCTGTCAGATATCTTTTCTGTTTTAAGAACTATCTTATTCATGTTAAGAAGAAAGAGTGGGGTGGGCGGGATGGTAAATTCAATATGACACAAGAGGCTTGTCTTTAAAATATGTATGTTTTACACCAGGCTAGCATCTACTGGTACAACATTACTATAAACCTGTAAATCCCGGACCATTTTGGTGTTTTAGCTTTGGTGCTTTTGTGCAGCTACTCCTTTCAGCCATCATCATCTTGAATGCATCGTTTTGGTTTTGACTAGTAGATGCTCAGTGTTCTCCCCAGGATTTTTTTAAGGCGCAAAATTCAAGGGTGCGTAACTCTTTTTTTAGAGTGAACGTTTGTGATCTGAAGCAATAAGTCATAAATCATGACATGCAATATGAATTATAATGCTTTGTGTTATGTGTTTAATAATGCAGAGTATTAATGAATTACAAGAATATATATATGAAATAAATTGATTTTAAACACAAAAGTTATTTATATTCAGTCAATTAAAGAAGTCAAAATATAAATATTCATCTCTACTCTCTGCTCCTTCTAGGGATATTGTTTCAAGATAGTGTTATTTTGTTGGACAGTCTGTTCCCCAACTTTGTCTTTATCCTCTTCAGGGTTAAAAATTAAACCCCCACTCACAATAACTTTTGCTTATACCCCCTTTAACATTTCTAAGCCATGAAAACTCAGTCAGCCACTTGTCATTGAAACCAGAAACATGGTGCTTGCTTTTATCAATTGCTAAAACTTGAGCTTGGTTGGGATTAGGAGAAGCAATGAAATCTGCTTATACTGACAGTGTAGACGGAGGTGTATTCCACTTTTCATTAGAAGTCATTGGTGTGGAAAAAAACTTCTACTTCCATCATCTACCTTTTGCTTATAATTCACCCCTTTGTTATTTGCAGAGAACATGTTCATTCAGAATTAATAAAATCGAATATGGTTAAGATATTTGGTATACAACTTTTTAAAACAATTTTTTTTTATAAATGAACAGCTGACCAGTTTCCGTAGTTTCACATTACGCTTCCGTGCGTATTATTGTTTAATCCTATCTTTGGCAGATAGATATAAACGAAACTTTACAAATTCGTTAAAGTTAAAACCATTGAAATTATTTACCAGTGACATTATACAGAAGCTGCGGCGATTCTGTTCCCGTGTTGATTGTCACATATTTCCCGACGCACGGATTCACGATCGATGTTCAATGATCATTTTATTTCTAAAAATATGACAGTTTCAGACGAATTTACCTTGCAAGCAACATTTTTTCACTTTCTATTAAAGTAAATCACTCCTCGTTATCTTTAATCAAACTTTATTTTAATTTTTTCAACTACTAATACTTTCATTCATAGTTTTCATCGTAAATATCTTTAGCAATGTGTATTCAAATTTATCATGTGTATTCAACACGTTCATTGGTCGTGTTTAAATAGATTCTTCTTCTAGACCAATGAAAAAATTCGTTATATAAATGGTCAAGTGATCACACACACGATGCGTAAATACAATGTATTTGCGATCTATTTCTTCAATTTCTGCACTGAAGTTTTTAAAATTTTTAATTTTCTTCAAAAAATATCTATCTTCTTGATGATCATTTAAGCTATTACCTGATAACATAGTCCGATAAGGCTGAGATAAGCGTGGCTCAGGTAAAACTAATTATCAGTTATTGCGTAACACTGACCGACCCATCAGCGGTGATCAGTAACTTGACAATTTTAACCAACATTTATAATGAAAATGTGAAAATTAACACGCTGCGGGATCAAGTATCAAGGGACAGCGGCCAATTAAGACGCTGCGGGATTTACAAAAATATTATGAAGGCGCTGCGGCACCGCAGCGTCATATCGGCCTGGGGAGAACACTGAATGCTTTGTTCTCTGGTTCAGGGCAAAATTTGTCAATGATAAATTTCACATAATTAAGAGATTTATCAAATGTTAAAGCCACAGATGTTAGTTCTGTCATGTCTGAGTGAAAAGCTTCTATCTCATGAAGTGACGTCGTAAAGCAGACAAAAGTGTCTGCTTTACCAAATGTAACTGGAGAGCATGATTCATATTAAAAAATCATCTTTGTCTCCTCCTGGACTCGAACCTGGGACCTCTGTGTTACAAGGCAGCGCTCTGACCGACTGAGCTAAAGAAGTACTGTCTTAGCTCAACCGTGTACGGCTGACTCAGGTACAAAACTTAAAGGGAGCCCAGTCGCCCATGGCTCCTAGATTTTGAGCTGGGCCCCTAAACTTTCAGGTAAATTTCAGTTGAACATATAGAAACTAATTATGAAATATCTGGTCTGAGCTCCCAGCTTGAAATTCCCAAGTTTAGTCCCTGTAATCTGAATCAGACTAAGTATCTACTAATGAAGGGAAGCAATAATGTCACACTTCCCCCACCTCAAGGGTCTTCATACCATTATGACTCTCACACATATACCCTAGCTAGAAATCCTCTCTAACTACCGTGGGTTTTTTAGTTGGGCGCCAAATGTAACCGGAGAGCATCTTTCATATTACAAAATCATCTTTGTTTCGTCAAGGACTCAAACCCGGAACCTCTGTGTTACAAGGCAGCGCTCTAACCGACTGAGCTAAAGAAGTACTTCCTTAGCTCAACCGCTCATGGCTGACTAAGTATCTACTAATGAAGGGAAGCAATCCCGTCACACAAAGATGACATTTGAGTTCTCTAAAAGGTCTTTCAGAACGTCCTCCCATGTTTCGATCAAAGAATAGCAGAAAATCTTATTTTTGATAAAATGTTCACCTCCCTTAACTGATGCATTCCACTGCCAGCCTCTTTGACATTATTTATTTTTGGCAGACGTTTTTCTATTCTATGTCATTCAAACATTTGCTTTCAATACAGTGTACAAGAAGCGCATTTAACAATCGTGATTTGAAATAAGTAAAGCTGGAACAAACTCTGCGGATATGGCATGATTCTGATTATTTTTAATACAAAAAAAAAATAAATTCTGAAATGCATATAAAATTATTAGGGTGGCAAGTTTTTCAGTGGGTCGGGCGGCAATGCCAAAGAAAGGAAATTTTATTTTCAGCCTAATATATATTATTATATGATTATAATGATTGTTAAAATGATTTATAGACCAAAAAATGATTTATTTGTACATGACAGACATTAACAGCTACAGAATATGGTTATGCAATATAAATTAACCTTTTTATTAGGGATCCTGATAAAGAGAAAGTGAAAAAAATATAGAGTTGAACAGTAGCAATATATAGGTATAAAAAATGTTACTTGTGTTTTTTGCATACATGGTGAAAAAAAATAAGCATTAGCTTTATATACATGTAGGTATCTATTATTGTTTACAGCCACTTCATTTGAATTTGAGTGGATAGTTGTCTCACTGGCCAGAGGTCTACTTAACAAAATTTAAAAGTATGGCCAATAGGGCCAGTAAGAGCGTAAATTTACTGGCCCAACTCAAATAAAATTTGCCATAATAATACTATTTAAGTAAAATATAGTCGAATGTAATGGCCAATGGCGCCAGTAGTCTTCATGTTCAACTGGCCCTATCGAAATTCTACTGGCCTTGGGCCAGTGGGCCAGTGCTTAAGTCAACCCCTGCTGGCAATCATACCAGATCTCCTTATTTTTATATTGGACAACTTATTTCATTTTCAATGTCTTTATTTCTGTGCAGTGGACCTATTATACTGCTACAAG